CTTGTTGCAGTTCCAAACAAAACAGTAGAATTCTTTACCAAAGCAGACATTTAACTGTCTGGTCTTGTTATAGACATGTCTTTCCCCTCTGCTATTTGATGAGGGGAAGCAGTTGTTCTCCAACAAATGAACTGTCCATGTAAGTCAGTGTCAGATCTGGGGTCAAGCCTTAAAGTAGTAACACTGAGTGAAGAAACGTGTCCATGTGGTCTTTCCTACTCACAGAGGAAAATATCTCAGCTGTGATCTTTATAAACCTTGTTTTGGCCTTTTTTTACCCCTCCAGGTTGAAGAGCTGAGTGATTTGTACACTATCTGTATACAGGAGCACCTGGCCTGTCAGAAGTGCTCTTTTGAGGAAAAGAAGAACAGCAATATGTTAACCCTTCCACTGCCACTGCTGGATTCCAATTGCCGCATGCTGAAGACTCTAGTAAGTTAGTGCCAGCACTGGTTCCTTAGGAAGATTATCCCCTGTTCACTGTGGGAGCCTTTTCTTTGCAGCACTGGTGTGTCCTGGACTCAGGTAGAATCTCTGTAAGAATCCCTGAAGGGTGTCTGGTACTCTGGGGTGATCTTTTCTCGCTCACATTTCTTCTGTATTTTGAGGGGTTCTAATTTCTTATTATTATCTTTTGTCCTTTGAATACAATATGCCTTCTGTAGCTTTGCTGTTTGCTTGTACCCTGTGAAACAAAGTAAAAATGGAAATCTGGCTAGAAGGAATTCGGTTGAAAGAAATCTCCTCTGTCTCCTTAGAAGGACTGCCTGCAATGCTTTTTCCATCCAGAAGAGCTGACTGGTCACAACATGTGTTTCTGTGACCAGTGTGGAAGAAAGACACCTTTTCTGCAGGTAATCAGATAATTATTTCCCCATATTTCTCTTCTACACAGAACTCCCTTTAGGACTGGGAAGGGTGGGGAAAGGACTCAACCATACCAGTTTGAGGAGATCAACAATACAAAGCTTTGTCAGTGCAGCAATGTCAGCTAGATAAAAACCACATGCATCTTTCCTGTTAAGAAGTTCCTTAATGTAGATGTAGCTCTAGCAACAAAATAATGATTTTGTGGGTTTTCATATAAGCCGCCAAGGGATGCAGCATTTCTGTGCCAGCAGAAAAGTTGGTTTATGTTAATGTGAGGCATCCCTACCCATGGCAGGGAGTTGGAACTAAATGATCTTAAGGTCATTTCCAACCCAAACCATTCTATGATGCTATGATTCTGTGATTCTATGATTCTATGTTGTGCTTCTGCTGTGGGGCTCTACACTGCTGCATAGCTCCAGAGGTAGACAACAACATGTTACTGGAGCTGTGCATACACATAAAAGTAGGAGATCTTAGGGTGATTTCCTTTCTTCCCTGTTTTCCACTGGCCTTCCCATTTTTTACAGTGTTGATCTCTTCAATACATTTGCCTCTTCATGAAACAGCTAATTCATCAGCTGGCAAAGAGACGTGTGGGGAGGAGACTGCCTCAGCTCAGGGCTCGGAGGTACTTCCCACTGAGTCACCTCCAGGGCCACAGTGTATCCATATGTCTTGTTGGCAGCCATGGCGGCAGCAACAGTAATATCAACAAAGGCAGTGGTGGAAGGGATGAGCTGTGAGCTTGGCATCCCCTGTGGAGCTCTGGTGGCCAAATGTCACAACAAAATTGCCTTGCCTCTCCTCACCTACCTGTTGCTACTAACCTAAGGTTCAGAAAGCAGGTTAGAAAGGAAGCAACCCTTGAGAAAAGCAATGCTGAAGCTGAGAAACTTGCTTATCACAAATCCAGATGAGCTACAAAAGCATCTGCTGTCCGATGGAACTGGCATTCATTCACTGTAGCTGTGACTGTTCTCTGGGCTATGTTCACAGGGTGACAATGGTTGTTTCCACCCCACCTCCCCAGGTCTTGCTCCTTAGTTTTCAATGATGTTGCTTATTGCTTTACAGAGTATGAAGCTAGTCCATCTGCCACAGACCCTGACCATACACCTGAAGCGTTTCTGCTTCGAAAAAGCAGCCCACATTCACAAGCTTAGTCACTACCTGCCATTCCCACAAGACCTTGATTTCAATGAAGTCTTGACAGAAAGTCAGTGCCAAGCAGATGACAATGAAAAGGTGAGATACTCCTAATGCCCTGGTTTAAAAGGACATTTTCTTCTCCCCTGTGCTCAAGTCTCATAAAACCTTAGGAGGTGACATCAGTACTTGCCTCAGTTCCAAGCACCTGTCTTAAAAATGCTCGTCTCAGGCTTTACCTGTGCCTGGTGCTCTCTCACATCTCATGGTTTTAAGTGGTTCAGGCATTATTCAACTTTCTGTGCTCAGATTTAACCACCAAAGGCACCGTAACTGAAGCTTTCTGCCATAAGGACAAAAAAGAGGCTTTACAAATAAGACCCCAACTTTTTTTTTCTTTTCTTTTTCTGAATGTTTAGCATAACATTTTTCTTCCATTTCTAAACATAATAAAGAAAAGATGAAAACACAGTTCATTTGGATGACCAAATCCAGACACTGTAAACAGTGTCCTAGGGCCAACTTCCGTCATGTGGTTTGGACTCCAGCTCAAGATGGTCTCAGTGTGAGCAGCAGACCCACTGCCTTGCAAAGGTCACCAGTCTAATACAGGGGAATTCCATTCCTGGCAGTTTCCCATATAGTGTTGTTTGCCACAGAGTTAAGGTTAGCAGGGAGGCAACAGCTTTGCCAAGCAGCTGAGGGTGGATCTGTTCCCCTTACTGAGAAATAAGGCAAAGTGTGGCAACAGCCAAACCTCACTGGTGCAGTGTTGGCTGCAGGGTTTGCTGCCTGTTTGCTGTTCTACAGTCTTTCTCATGTACCTGTGTTCAGGGTGCCAGGGAGGGTGACAGCCCCATAGCTGAAAAGCAAAACTCTGAGGGTAAGAATAGAAAAGGCAGGATCCTCAAGGCCAGTCTAATCCGTCTCCTTTTTCCTCACAAAACATACATTCTTGCTGTCCTGGCTGCTGAACCTTCTTTGTCCAATGGCAAATGAGAATTGCTGCACTGAAAGTCACTCTTTGTGGTTCTTCACAGGCTGGCTGGCAGTATGACCTTTTTGCTGTCATTGCCCACTCAGGATCAATTAGCTGTGGACACTATTGTGCCTATATTCGAAGTCTCACAGAATGTAAATGGTATTGCTTCAACGACTCTGAGGTTTGCCAGGTGAGAAGACAAACCCACATTTCTTTTGTAGCTTCCTGGACACTCCTCGAGATCCCATTCGGTCTGTCCATTTGCTCATTAAAGAGAATCAGGGAAGAAAACAGAAGCTGCAGAGCTCTGTGCATCTCATTCTTCTGCTACAGTGTACTCTGAGCTGAGGGCAGAGCTGCTCTAGCTTCTGTACCAAACAAGGCCTTGGGTTCTGCTTTGCAATGTTCCGAAGCAGCCATTCACTGTATACCCTACTTTATGTACTCTGGATCTGTTTAATGTATGTATTCAGAAGAAGGAAAGGAACTGTTTTTCCTCAAGGAGTAAAACCAATAAACTGATTTATTAAAGGGTGTTTAGTTTCTGGAAGTACCACTTATACCACTCTTCTTAAAAGAATTGCTGTGCTGGTATCACAGTGTGTCCCTCTCTTGAGAGCTTTTACCAGCCTCCTCTTCTGTTTTTCTTCTCTAGGTATCGTGGGATGATGTGAAATGCACCTATGGACATTCCAGCCTCCACTGGTAAGCAAACATACCTGTTTTTACCAAATGTTGCTCTGGGGTTTGGAATGAGGGTAGCAAAGAGAGGGAAGACAAATGGTTTGAACTGCATATCGCCAGGGATGTACTGAAGATGCAGGAGAGAAGAAGCCTTCCTATATAATGCTGTCAGTGAGTCAATATGATAGAATCATAGAATAGTTAGGATTGGAATGGACCTTAAGATCATCTAGTTCCAACCCCCCCCTGCCATGGGCAGGGACATCATGATGCCTTAGGGATCACTGAAGAGGGCTGGTTCAGTTGACACAGACCTCAAAAAGCTGAGTATGACCAAACCTGGGAGGTTACTTGCAACCCTAATCTTCAAACATGCATCTTGTTTTGCCTCTTCTTTGTTTCCACAGGGGAGAAACAGCCTATCTCTTGGTTTACATGAAAAAACATCCACAGTGGCCTTATCCAGGAGTATGAGAATGTCTTGTGAAGTTGTGCATTGTCCATGGAGATCAGCACCTCTGTGCCATTGTGGACATGCACAAGTGTTCCACAAGAACGACATGGCGCACTCAGTCAGTGACCTCTGCCTTCACATTTATTTATGGAAAAGTTAATAGAGAGACTTAGCTAGAGAAAGGATCTCAGAACTGTTGCAACTAGAAAGTTTTTCTTTCATATGTTTTTTTTTATTCTATTTATTAATTTCCTCTTAAAAGATAGTAAAGTTAGTCCTTGTCTCTTCTGACTTACCAGTTTCTTTAATGCTGACGCCTGGATTCCAGTACAAGGGAAGAATTTGGCCTGAAAGCCTGCCTGATATTCCATTGAGGCACGTGGTATGACTGGAAAGCTGCGATGGCCGTGACTAGCCAGTAGGACCATAAGAGCTTGAGACTTACTCTGCCCTTTTAATACCATGTTAGATGCTGGCAAGCTGGGCAGGGGACCCCAAAAGTCTTGAGAAACAGCTGGATCAAGGACCAAAACTTAGGACATGTGCATGAATGATGTTTACTCTTTCAAACCTTCCTGAAAATGAATCACTACAGGGGCTGAGGTGTGTTCAAAAGCTGGTGTCAGCATAGTGTTTTTTTAAATCAGCTGCTTTTGTAGTAGTTCTCATTTACAAGATGAGTTTGTACATATTTGTGCAGACGATTATTGTTTAAGCGTGCTTATCAGGCATTTATATGTATTTTCCTTCCTGTATAGAGGAAAATACTAAGAGCAACAGAGGTCCTGAATCTAGCTAGTGATTTTGCACAATACAATCAATACTGTGACAAGAGGAGAAGTGAGATGCCTCCATATAAAAAAAGTAAGTAATCTTTGTACCTCCTGTTGAGCCCTATCACTCCACACTGTTGGTTCAGCCTGTGCTCTCATGATGAGACACACAGCTGGAGGGGAAATGTAAAGAGAGCTAGAAAGGAAGGTTAGTAACATGACAGTCAGAAGGAGAGAGTTCTAAAAGCTCATGGCAAGACTCAGCTGGGGGGAATGTGATGCTTTTTAAGCATTCATGGTGAGTCTTGATGTACCACAGCCTGTGAAAGGATCGGTAATTGCAGTAGTTTGAGATTAAAAGGACCTTCTAGCCTAAGAAACCTTTTGACTGTATCTTTACAAGGGTGCTATTTTTGTGGGACTGAGCACATTTTGAAATGAGTGATTTAGTTATAATAGCCGCTATATATATCCTAATTTTATGTTGATGATGAAGTTCACGAACCATGTCCATTTTCTGTTGGCATGTGGAAGGTGAATTGAGAAATCTTGGAGCATAGCTGGAAATGACATTTTTATGACCTAGCAGGTATTTATTTCACTGCACTGGCAAAGTCCATTATTCTGTTCAGCTTTTGTATTTATACTGCTCATTCTGGTTAAAAAAAAAATTCCCAATGTATTGTTGTCACCAAGATGAGGAATTTTTTAGCCTATTTGCCTTCGGGAATGTGTTAGACTCTTTCTAAAGCACCTTGCAATAGGTGAGTAAGAAAACCAACCTCCTGTCCGCTTTATCCAGCCCTTTGCATCTGTGAAGTAGCTGAAAGACAGCGCACTTCCAGGAAGCTGATGGGTTAAGAGACTGACAAGACATTTCTAGTTTGATATAACTTGAGACTTAAAAACAAGCTATGCTTATGAAAGATGCCTCAAATGTGTCTTAACCTTCCAGGTTGTCGTGGTTTAACCCCAGCCAGACAGCTTGTGCACTCACTCCCCCGCTCTTGCCCTCCCCCTACTCCTGGAGGGACGGAGAGGAGAATCAGAAAGAATGCAACTCCCACGGGTTGAGATAAGAACAGTTTAGTAACTAAGGTATAACACAAATCACTGCTGCTACCACCAATAATAGTAATGATAAAGGAAATAACAAGGGAAGAGAATACAACACCTCATCACCAGGTGGCAGATAACTTGCCCCCCCAGCCCGACCAAGCACCGACCGATACCTCTTCCAACCCTGCCGTCCACCTTAGCCCTTCTGGGTAACTCCCAGTTACCTCCTGGGCATGACGTGCTGTGGTATGGAATACCTCTTTGGTCAGTTTGGGTCAGGTGTCCTGTCCCTGCTTCCTCCCGGCTCCCCTCCTCCCTGGCAGAGCATGAGGCCCACAAAGTCCTTGGCCAAACCAAAACATCATTTTTATCAGCTTTGTTCCCAGCTGAAAGTCAAAACACAGCACTGCACCAGCTACCAAGAAAGAGAAAAATGACTGCCACTGCTAAACCCAGGACACAGGTATATCACCAATCAAGGAAGCAATCACTGAGATATATTTAAGAATCTCTTCAGTTGGTTTTACAATGAAAAGTAATAAATGTTTTTCTTTTGAATAAAATAGTATGGGATAAATTCTCTAGAAAATAAGTCTTGTGGGTTATTCTTGGTCTATTTTTCCTAACCCCCATAAATGCAGGTGGGATACTACAGGCCACATGCTCAGATTAAGCATTCAGGCTAGAGCTCCTGCTGATGTTTAGCTCCAACAGCCACGGAAATGAGGCTAAACCTTCCTTGTGCACTTTGCCCTCATGCTGGAGACCCATGGGGTTTACTGGCAGGTTTGCTGTTACGTGGAAGCTTACGTTGCTTCCAGATCCAGATGGGCCCCGGGAGGGTGTGCAAACTGCATCACTTATAGATTTAAAAACTGCCTGACCTGGGCTGCTTTTGCAACAAGTCAGAGATACATAGAATGGTTTGGGTTGGGAGGGACCTTCAGAGGTCATTTAGTCCAACACCACTGCAATGAGGGGTCCTTGGCTACCTCTGTGCCCACAGCAAAGTTCACCGCACCCTGGATAAACTGCCCAAGGATAACTTCTGGCTGAGCGCACAGCAGTCAGCGGCAGTGTGCTGATACACAGTCATAACATGGAGATCACTCACAGCACAGAGTCCACTTCACCCAGGGGCTGTCTACCTGTGCAGAGCTACCACAAGATACAAAGGAGCTGGGATTAGTTGTCCTGTGTTTGAGCCACTGTGCTCAAACCACTTGCACTGGTAGCAAGGGCTTTGAAAAGCCAGATAAAACCAAGAGTGTGTGTGTGAAGGGATTATTGTAGCTCCTGGGTACTCCTCCTTTCTGTTTTTTGTTTGTTTGGGGATTACTATGCCTTAAGGGAAGGAACAGTAGCAAAATAATATGCATTCTCTGCTTCATCTCTGGCACACTTCTCCTCAGATTCAAATATTCCCCACCTTCAAGAAACACATAGAAACAATAGAGAAAAGCAAGTACAGAATCATTCAGGTTTAGACTGGAAGGGACCTTAAAGCTCACCCAGTTCCAACCCCTTGCCATAGGCAGGGACACCTTCCACTAGACCAGGTTGCTCAAAGCACCGTCCAACCTGGCCTTGAACACTGCCAGGGATGGGGCAGCCACAGCTTCCCTGGGAAAACTGAGCAAACACGTGAGATGAGAAATAGCTCCTGGGGTATGTGCAAACTCCCCAAATACCACTTTCTTTGCAGAAAAGCAGGGGCTGTGAGTTATGCGAAAACCTGCAACCTTGGTCAATGCAATACGTGTAACTGGCACCATGCACTCACTCAACAAACGCATGTGAACAACCCACAGTCAGTTTCTAAATTCTTCAAAGGGTGAGAGAAAGGCAAAATCCATGCATTCTCTTGCCTACTGTATCACTTCTGCCTGTATTTTCCTTGTCTGCAGCCAGTCAGGAGGCAGGAGGGAGGGGCAAAGCCTATGTAAAGTGTTTGGCAAGGGCCAGCAGCCTCTCCTTGACCACAGTGACTGGGAAGGGACCGCACATGGCCACCTACCTGGAGCTGCCCACCCGTGCGAGGATGCCCATCCTGGGACTGGGGACCTGGCAGGTATATGCTGGAGCTGGGGACCTCTCCTTGTCCCCACACCTCTGGTCACACAGGTAACACCAGGCTGAGAAGCACAGCACACTTCTTCAGCAATCTCCTCTTCAGATCAGGGCAAGGCAGCAAATCCTCTGTGAGGTGTTTCGTGCTGTTTGGAATACTTCAGGTAACATGGATGTTTATGCCTGTCCTTCAGGAAGCTTGTTGAGTGAGCAGGGGAAGAAGGTTTATTTATCTTAACTATGGACAAAAAAATGCATATTACAAAAGTTACTACTTCTGCCTTGCTTGTTTTTCTTCGTGTTTCTACCTTTGCTTTTGTCTCTGGGTATTAACATCCCAGCATGTCACGTAGGTGTCAGCTTTGATGAGCATGTGTGGGTACAGGAACTTAGGTGGTAATGAGTGGATTTGGAAATGGGGGTTTACAGGAACTCCCTAAAGACTGAGGATTACTTATTTGTATGGCAGCAGAGTATGCAGCACATAGCAGGAAAATAGTTTGGGTAGTTCTTTACCTGCAAATGTTATCTAATGGGTTTTGGGAAGGGAGAACATTTCAGTATATACTGAATTATAAACGTAAAAACATCCTGGAAATGAGCTAAAAAATTTAAGAAAGTGAGTTTCCTAAGGAACAAAAAGAAAAATAGTTGATTATCCCCTGGATTTGGGACTGGAAATGAGTATGTTGAATTGCAGGCTGCCAACCCTATGAAACACTGCCCAGTCAGCATAATTTTGGGGTCAGCTGCTGCTGATCATCATATGCCTTAGGTACAAATGGGGATGAGTTTGTTTAACCCTTTCAGTCTTAATTGGGCTGATGACAAAAGACACTAAGAAGTAGGCTCTAAAAACCCACAGCGTTCATTGCATGGACATTATGATGGATGAGCTCGCTGAAGGAGCTTATTGAGACGCTAACAGGAACTGGTTAGGACTAAAGAGAAGGAAAACTTTGGACACTTGATCCCTGCCACCACAAAAATCTCTTGTGTTAAAGCGATGAAAACATAGCCCAAACGCACTGTGATTACTTCATCATAGCTACTTGATCTCAAGGTTCCCAGAGCAACTTCTTGTGTTTCAGTGTGGCAATGGGGCTTCTCCTTTACCCAGTCACGCTGACTTGGAGTCCTGTTCAGTGAGCACCACAATGGATTATCTTTTCTGAAGGACAGCTCATGTTACAGACTCTGGGTAACCACAGGGTCTGTTGTTGACTTTGCTCTCCGACAGTTCCTCCTCCACCCAAAAGCGATGCCGATTGCTCCTGCATGGCAGCTTTCCCACGCCGCAGCAGCACACAAGGATAAGGTACTCTATAATGCTTGGCGTTTGGCAGGTGTCCCCATTAGCCTGCCTTCCCAGGGGCTGCAGCATTCATACATAGGAGAGGGTTGGGATGGGGAAAGGGGCTGCAGAAAGGAAAGCTTGTAAGACTTTTCACTGGCTACTTGGTTGTGTGGAAAAAACCGTGGCAATTTCCATGTTATTTTAAATGTAGGTGAACCAACCAAGAGCCCTTCGTTGGAACTACTTGGAAAAGTGAAGTCATTAAAAAGAAGATGATGGGTGGGGGTGCAATGAGGTTAAATATAGGCGGTGGTCGTGGTTTTGAGCCGTGTTTCTGCTTGAAGTGTCATTTTCCAGAGTCAGCATCCAGTCATCAAACAACTCCTCAGTGTCTCCGAGCCAAGAACCTCAACCGATTACTTTGCTATTAAATACCAGGCTCTGTATTTCACCCAGGAGGTGGCACTGTCTGTAGTGTTCTGGCGTTGTCCTCGCAGCTCCCTGCCCTGTGTCAACAAGAGCCAGGTTGTTTGCGTGCAAGGCCAGCAACCTTTCCAGAGCTGATTCATTTCCTCATGTTGCCAGGATCTCACACTGAAATTGGGCAAATTAAAACTCTTTTTGAGATAGTCTGGTGTCCGAATGTGAATGCTCGATCTTTAGAAAAGGGCAATCAGCTCAGGCAACTCATTGGGGACTCCCATGGCCATTTTATTCCAGAAAACTAAATGAAAGCAAGATCCAGACTGGAACACCTCAGTATTTGGGAGCTTAAAGTCTCCAGATTTGAGCAACAGCAAACTTCTTTTTCTGATGTTTACCGAATTACTGATTTCTGTTCTCATTTCAGTCTCTCCAGGGAGCAGCCAGAGATGCAGTGAAGTTTGCCATCGATGTTGGGTACTGCCACTTTGATTGTGCTTACCTGTACCAGAACGAGAGTGAGATCGGGGATGCAGTACGGGAAAAAATCAAGGAGGGGGTTGTGAGGCGAGAAGACCTCTTTATTGTCAGTAAGGTACGTCCTTGGGTAACTTGTCTAACATGAGGCCAGCTCTCAGGAGGAGAGGCAAGGTCCCAACCTGCAAAGTGTCAGGGGATGTAACTGGTCTGTGAATTAACTCAGGGCAAAGCATTTTATGGATGGAGGGAAGGAAGAGGTCAACTCCTAAAGAACAAAAAGGGCTGGATTTGAGAGGGATTTTTTGTAGTCCATATCCATTGTCAGCGACGGAGACAGGAACTGAGGCCGTGCTCTCAGTTGCCTCTGAGACAGGAAGCAGGGCTATTGTATTCGTGGTCACTCCCGCTGTGCTGCCGGCCTCAGCCTGTTAGCTCCTGTATGTTATGTTGTGTTTTGTTTTTTCCCCACAACAATAGTAGGAAAAATAAAGTAACTTCTATCTGCTGGAAGCTGGCAGGTCAATTTTCACCAGTTTTGCTTTATTTGTTCTGTTTAATTGTTGTGTGAACTGTTGGAATGTTAGAGTATCTCATCCTCATTTTACTTAATGGACAGTTAAATAAGGTGCACAAAAGTGGCACTTCCTCAAGGCAAGAAGATGTGCTGTATCATGAGGTGCCTCTGTGTCTGCACTGCGTGTTTCCCTGCTAGGGATGCTCTGTGGTTGTGAGGTTAGGAGAGCAGCGCCCAAGCTTTGTGTTACCCCTGCAGCTGTGGTCCACCTTCCATGAGAGATCCCTGGTGAAGGAGGCATGCCAGAAGACACTTGCTGCCCTCCAAATGGATTATTTGGATCTCTACCTGATGCACTGGCCCATGGGATTCAAGGTATTGAGACTTCTAAATCACAGATCCAATTACCACTCAGGTCACATTTCGCTTAAAGCCTGAGATTGGACTGCCATTTGCTTATCCAGGATCAAACAGTTGTGCATTACTTAGCTCCTGTTTTTCTCTTCTCCCTCTACCCCCAGGTTAAATAAATCCTCGTTTCCCCACGGTGTCACATCCCTGGCCTTCCCTCGGCCCGACTGAGGCACATAAAAGCATCTGCCCTTCCTCTGCCTGCAGGGCAGGCTCTCAAGAGGCAGATTTTCTTGGAGATTACTGTTCCTACAGATGACTGGTTTTGGCCACCTCTCTCTCCCCCAGCACAAACATAAGGCAGGATATCAGGCACCTCCAGCTCCATGCACTTGTATCGTTTCTAAGAGACTCTAACTGTTACAATTCAGCCTACCTTAAACTCCCTTTTCTTTTGTGATGACAGGCAGGAGAGGAGCTGTTTCCTACAGATGGAAATGGCATGATCATTCCCAGCGATACAGATTTTCTGGATACATGGGAGGTACGTTCATTGACGGGCCAAAAAATCCTTGCTAATTTGAAATAACAGTCTGTAAAAGTTAAGGTTTCCAGTTCGAGAATTGTTCTCAGCAAGTTTCTGATGTGAAGTATTCCAGATTGCTGGTTTATCTGTGTCCTTGGGCTCCTTCTTGTGTTCCTTTGCCAAAACCGAGGTATTTTTATGTCTACTGCTTACTAAACTGGCTGGGTGGGCATGGCAAGAGGAAATCTTTGTGTGTGTACCCTGCAGTGGCTTTAGCTAACGTATTCTGTCACTTCAGTCCCCACACCACTCTCTGGGTATTCACTGGTGGCTTTAGCTGTAGCTACACTCATCCCCAGTTGCACCGGAGCCTTCCAGATGACAGGAAAGCCAACATGGCTGTGTCAATGTAGACAGAACATACAAATCTCCCCCTCTAGAAAGTACTGAAACTTGCCCAAAGCCCATCGCTGAAGCTCTGTGTGTTGCAACATGAACAGGCAGGAGCAAGGGATACAAGACTTTGGTGAAAGCTCAGATTTCTGCTTGGCTTGGTTTGGGCTTCCTTTGCCCATCACCCTCACTGTGTGCTTAGCATGGCCAGGCTGCAAGAAGACAAGAGACTCACCAGAGTCAGAGGAATTCGCTGATGCGCTTTTCCTTCTGCCATAAGAATAAGGCTCGTTTCTGTGGCTCATTTGAAGGAAAAAAGAGGACATTTCAGGCTGCTGCTGCTGATAGCAGCTGCAAATAAACATGAATTTGCTTTGGAAGAGGTGTTTTTTCTGCTCTAAAGGCTGGTAGTAGATTATTTTCTCCTGTTTCTTTTCTGCTGGAGGTGTCAATCTAATTATGGCTGTCCAGCTGTTTTACTGTTTGCCAGTGTGAAAGAAAATAGGTGGAGGTGGGGCAATACAGCACTGCGTATGCTGTACTGCCACTGCTAAATGGTACATCTCCCTTGGGAAATTAATCACCAGTAATGAGCAGGTATCCTACTCTAGCTCCTCCAGAACAGCTCCCTGTCAAGCCGCTCTGTCCCAGATGACAAGCCTTTTGTTAGGGGATAATTATTTTGTTAGCTGAGGAATTACCCTAGCAAAAACCTCTTTTATTTAGGAGCATTATACCTGGGGATAATTTTTCATTTCAGTATCCTAGTGTAGTAATTGTTAACCTTGAATAACGCTGTAGTTTATTTGTATGTTGATACATGATGTGAGAGGCTGAGTCTTAGACCAGGGTCCCACCAGTCAATGTCCTGCACTAACATGACATCAGAAGAGGATGCCAGCCATGATGATTTTTACCACTGAAGTCGTGCACAGGCACTTTTTCCATTAAAAAAAAATAAATCTTAATTCAGTAGGAAGTCTGATTCTGTAGTGTTTCTAGGCTATGGAAGAGCTGGTGGATGCGGGAATGGTGAAGGCAATTGGAGTCTCCAACTTCAACTGCAAACAGATAGAGCAGCTTCTGAGCAAACCAGGCTTAAGACACAAACCTGCAAATAATCAGGTAAACTGCTCTCAAACTCATCAGTGCTCATACCACATCTGTCTGCATTTGATGGGACAGCACTAGCAGTAAATGACCTTCTCTGTTAAGGCTGTGCTTTTTTTGTGTCTGCATGGGAATACCCCTGTATTTGCTAAATGAGAAAGTAATGAAAGATGCAGAACATTCTGTGCCCTAGCATGGAACATCACTCACAGTAAATGACCTTTTATGTTAAGGCTGTGCTTTTTCATATCTGCATGGGAATACAGTATTTGGCTAAATGATAAAGCAATGAAAGATGCAGAACATTCTGTGCCCTTCCTTGCCCACACAAGCCTGTGGTACTCCTGTGTTGAAAGTGCAGCCTTCACCTTTCTTCTGGCTGCAGCACTGAGCTAATGCAGGCTGAGAACTGAGCTGTGCAATGGAGAACGTGACAGGGCTTACTCTTCTCCCTTTGTACAGTCCCTAAGGGAAAAGATAGGACCAGAGCCAGGCTACGCTGCTGGGGTGAATAGGTAGGACTAGGTGACATGAGAGTTGGGTGCTTCAGCTGGATGTGCACAGCTAGTCCTTGAAGCCCATTGGTATGGGGACTGTGAGAAGTCATGAAAAGCGAGGCAGGCAGCTGGAAAAAGAAACTAATGGGTTAAGATTGGGTCTTGTTGAAGGCAGGGTTGGGAAAAAGGGGAAATGATCTGAAACATTGACTGACTCTCTTAAAAACCTCATAGCTGCAGAAAAACCAACCTATTCAAAGCTGACATGGGGTCTGGTAGGTCACCGTAGTGATGTTACACATTGAAGTACCTTCTGCTTCTGTAGATTGAGAGCCACCCCTATCTTCCTCAGGAAGAGCTGATCAAGTTTTGCCAGTCCAAAGGCATCTCTGTCACTGCATATTGTCCCCTTGGGGCACCCAACTGGCCATGGTAAGAATGCTTTGTGAAACTTCTATCTCAGACATGGATTGGAGCCAATGTAGTAACCAGTATTAGGATTTGGATAAACCCTCACAGGGTAAAACCGATGTAATTAGAAGATTTACTTATTCTTTAAAATGACACACACACAGAAACCTCTCACACTTACTGTGTTTGCTAATTCATACCTGTGCTGTTACTGGAATTTCACATATAGGAGGAAAAGGATCAATTGGTTGGTGAAAGTAGCAAAGATAATTCTAAACTGAGCTTGGGTGAGCCTATTAAACATGTAAGAGAACTTCCGAACTCAAACACCCCCAAAGCAAAGCAGCAAATCCTTACGAGAACAGCAACTTTGCAGTCCTGCTGAGATGAATGGATTAGGTTTTTAAAAGGATGACTTGAAGAGATTTTGCTTTTACTCAAGTCTTCATGGCTGGGACAGGATGTTTACCAGAGCAGCTGTGCTTGTGAAGGACACGACAGCTGCCCATTCTTAACATGAAATCTTTGGGATTCGGACCAAAGAAACTGCCAGCCTCATCCCAGGCTGGACTGAAATGTATTACTAGAAACTACAGGCCTCTTCTCATGCCAACTGGCAATGAAAGGGAAAGAACAAAGGCAGGGACAGGAGCAAAAAGAATATAGTGAATCAAAGTGCACGAGATTATGCTTTCTTATTGTTTAAATGGTATTTTTACACTACAGTGCCTGAGGGAGAAACAGTGAACCATTCAACTGCTTAAATCTGCTTTTTATTTCCACAGGTCCAAGCCTGAGGATATTTCCCTTCTTGATGATCCTCAAATTAAGGAAATTGCACTCAAGTACAACAAAACCCCAGCTCAGGTTAATACCACTCATAGTATTTTCCCTGGCGATGGGTGTTTTTACCACCTGTACTAAAGTAGCTATTAACAGAGGTATTATGGAAAGCTGAATTCCAACTGGGTCCCACACACATCGTAATGCTTTAAAAAAATACTATCTCTAAGCCAAGTTTTAACGACAGACAGAAGATTACCAATGGCTTTGGGCTTTAAATAGCATGCTAGCCACCTCTATGCACAGCATCCCTGACTGATCCTGAACTCTTGTTCAATGCACTCCCATGCTGTCATCTCAAAAGGCAGATAGCTATTAAATGAGCTCAGGTAATATCGGGGGAAGGTTTACTACACTGCTTTTTCTCTGTGAACCACCTCTGATAATCAGCAAAGCTGATCCATGTAACTGTGTAGCCATTTACAGGCTTTGGCTTTCAGAAGACAGGCAGAACTTGTCCACTGGAATTCCCTATCTGTTCCTGCAGGTGCTTATCCGCCTCCAGATTCAAAGAAATGTGAGTGTAATTCCCAAATCTGTCACTCCACACCGCATTGAAGAAAATTTTAAGGTGAGAGGGTACTTTATGAGATTATCAATGGTGTCAAACTTTACACAGAAAAAAAATCCACAAAGTATTCCCTTCATAGCTAGAGCTGGCAGTCTTCCATCTGACAGATACCAAGTAGGTCACTTCTTTATGAATGCAAAACGTTACTTTAGAAGTAAGGAGCCACATCTCCTTCACTAGAATACATCATCACAGATTAACTTTTCCCTCTTGTGATATAAATGTGCTGCAATTAGACCCCACCAGCACTGTAACTTTATGACATTCACTCATTGCTCACCACAATAATGCATCTTGTTGAACAGTTCCTTGTACACCAACGAACACAGCACTTTCCTACTTCTGTTTTCGATGTTCTTTCTGCAATTTCCCTTCTTGCAAACTGAAGTAACTCAGCTGGTTTGGACCTTTATTCGGGTGTTTGACTTTGAATTGGCTGAAGAGGAGATAGGAACCTTACTGGCTTTCAAGAAGCGGTATCGCATCTGTACGTTAAGCGAGTGAGTACCTCCTCCTCCATGTTTTAGCAACATTAGATTGTTACTAGATAGCCTCTTAACAGACAGCATTTGAAAACCCCACTTTAAAAGAGAAGGAACTGCAGCCATTATCCAGTCACATCCCTATCTGCCAGAATCCAACACTAGGGTATTTTAAATCACTGCCTGTCTTGTGCAGGTTGGTAGCACTAGGATTTTTGCAAGGACATTGTGTGTTAAGACATCTTGTAACAGATGCATACCAAACTGCTGTCTGAAAATCAAAATCAGCAGGGAACTCCAAAATAAATAGGCAGCCTTCCACCCCTGCCTCCTCTGTTTTCTTTGGCTACTTCATATAAGAGACAGTCACTGTAAATAAACTTTTTAAGAATGAGAGTTTTAAGTTTTTTTTTAAGTGAAAAGCTGTGCCTATGTATTTATGCCAGCATTATTAAAGCAGCATCTAGATAATACAGCTGTTAGATACAGACTTACTGAGATCTGCAATTCATTCTGGTTTCCCAGGTTACCCATTTATCTAATAGCATGCTGCAGACTTAGGAGTTACCAAGAGTGGTTTCATGTTGCCAACAAGTTTGGCAATTTCAGCTAAGCAAAAGATACAGTACCTTTTGAGAACAAGGTCACTGGTATATGTGAAGGCTACAGAACATTAATTTCCAGTGCTCCATGTAAATTAAGCAAACCCACATTAGTGTTTTTGCTGTAGCTCACAGTTTTAGTTCTGAAGAGTTCTTGTTAGGGGGAAAAGCTTTTTCATCTTAGCCTTGAAATGTTTTAATCATACTCCCTTTTTCTAGATGCAAAAATCACAAGGACTATCCTTTTTTGGGAGAGTAACATAGGCACCACCATCAGATCCTCCAGGCACCAGGACCATGTATCATTATTTCAAGCAATTTGTAATACTTCATGGGTATTAAACCACAATGTAAGTGGAATATGCATTACAAGATAGATGATAACTCACAAGCACTAGAAAAGTAATCTTTGAACCTGCATGTGTTTGCTTCCCTTATTGTCCACCACAGTTATATCAGTTCTTTATCTGTACTTCCGCTCTGCTCTTGTAGTGAAATTCTCAGTTTTAACAAAATGTATGCTCTCTTATCATTTAGTAATAACAGTTGAAGTTTAATAAACCTGAGTGTTTGGGATTTGTGAAAAGCAGCTTTTGTCATAAATACAAATCCTGACCAATTTTAGAGAAATTTAGCTTCTCCTTGTGGCTGTATTTGTGGACAAAGTTCAAAACATGCTATCTTTAAGCTGTTAGTGTAAGACAATCCATTTAACATTGGAAGGTCTTGATAACACAATACACAGCTTTAGAGTCTTAGTTCAGTAATTCCAGCATAACAGACTAAAAGCTCTTTAGAGGATACCACTGAATTATATTTCAGGAACGCTTTCTTAATGAGGTTTCCTATTTATGAACTGCTAAAAACTAATAAACTGGTAGGAGATTTGTATGTTTGGTTTATCATATCTACAAAGTATATAAATACTGCCTTTCATCAGTAGAATAGCTGCGGTTAAAACTGTGAATCGCTCCCAGCAAATCCACAGTCTTATAAAGTAGACATAGAGGAATTATTTTGTTTGGCAACTGTCTTATTTAACAAGCAGAAAAGTTGGGCAACTTCTTAGAAGCCAAAAGTAGATGTTTGCTCTCTTGTGCTGCTCACTAAATACTGTCTGCTTGTGCTTTGACTCAAAGGATGTCACTGGATGTTGTTTTCTATGGTAAAAAACAAGTCAGTGCTACTGCAACTTATACATCTGCTGGAGTTTTAATGAGGTGTGTGTTAATCAAGATTTCTTGAACTCTAACAAGTCACTCGAAATGCCTGTGATTGCTTTAGGCTCTTCCAGGCCAGTAGGACAACAATGTGGATCAGCACTGCCTGCAGAGAGGAAGGACAATTGTGTAATTAAGGTCCAGGGCTCGGATACACATTTGATGGATATCCTTTCCCAACTGATTTTCTTTGTAGTCAATAAAGGAAGTGATGACATAGCTTTGGGCTACTTTAGACCTTTGCAAGATGTTTGAATAACATATGCCCTAGAAACAGCCATTTCATCAAATTGTATTTCCTACAACAACCCTTCTATAGAAAGACGTCCGAGAAGGGTATCAACAATTGACACCAAACAGTTATAATACAGTGGGATGGACAGGAGTATAAGAGTAATAAGTACTCTCTTTCATTCTCCCCTAAATTCAAATTCAGCTCAAATTCAAAAGGTCAGTCACAGGATATTATCATAGTTGCAGTCAGACAAGGAGCTATGTGGAAGGTGCTCTGCCTCCAGGCATCCAGACTGCAGTCAGGTTGTCAATCTACTGCAGTAGGAGCAGTACACAGTTCAGGCTGTAGCATACAGCCTATCTTGAGATATTCTCTACTTCATAGGAATTTTCTAACAACATTCCAATTTAATCACATCTATCAGACCTGAAGTTATTTACAGGATGTTTATAGACCGTGGCAGGCAGGAAGTCAGACTAGATGATCACAGTAGTCATATAATAGCAAAAAATTCAAAACAAGTTAGAAGCCAGAGATTGTGCATTTGTTTTAGAGACAATAGATCTTTTCCAGCTGCAGAGACTTTAGCAAAGGTGAAAGGAGAAAAACTTGGGTGATGTCAGTTACAGGGAAATAAAGTACCTTCTCTTCTGCACTGGAGATGCAGCTGTATGACTTCAAAGATAATGCCCCTTTCCAGCAGATCATTGTTGCCTCACAGAAATCACAGCAGCAGACTTACTGTCATCATAGGCTGCTACAAGCTGCTCAAGCAGCACACTTTCTAGCTTCACCTGATATAAGGAAAGCAAGTGCCTGGAAAACATAGGGTTAAAAGACTTTTAACTTAGGTCTAAGACAGAGAACAATGTTTGTGTTGTAAGCCTGTGGTGTGATAACAGAATTTAGTAGTCTTACTAACAAGAGTGAATTATTTCTTTCCATCCTTCTAATGAATGAAGGATTTCTTACCATCCTCCTAATTACCAGTTAATTTAGAGACAGTGACTCCCAAGCATCTGCTAGCTTGGGATACTCCTTGTCTGCCCATCCTGTTCTGCTTGCAATTAATTTTGTATGGTCACACTGTTCTAAATCTTTGCCAGCTATCAGAAACTTCCAGATACGGTTGGTTTCAGCAAATCTGTGATTACTGGGGCACCCAACTGTGCCAAAGGTGAAAAGCGCATCCTGAGGAAGACTGCTTAATTCATCTTGAAGACCCCTGCCCCCAACCATCTGAGGGCAGTGTGCAAGAACCAAAAGGGAGGAGACTTATGATAATGAGTACCTAAACTAATTGTAATATCCCCCCTGCAGAACTCCCAGGAATCTAATGAATATGCATGTTTGTGTGTAATAAATATCTGCTTGCTTAACCCCTCGGTGTGCAAGTTAGAAGGAAAGATCCCCCTTGCACCCGGTGCTGTAATAAACATACCTGCTTTATAACAGAGTTGTAGAGTTTGATTTCGTGCTTCACACCTACCCCAGCATTCCCGTGCTCTAATTGCATCTGCTGTCTGCAGAGAGGAAACGACAAAGCATGATCTCCCTTGATTCAGTTTTGAGGATTCCAGAAGTCTTCCAGCCTCTTGTGTTTTTAGCGAGTTTAGACTTTGCTTTACAGTATCACAGTATGTTAGAGATTGGAAGGGACCTCAAAAGATCATCTAGTCCAATCCCCCTGCCGGAGCAGGAACACCTAGATAAGGTTACACAGGAACGTGTCCAGGCGGGTTTTGAATGTCTCCAGAGAAGGAGATTCCACAACCTCCCTGGGCAGCCTGTTCCAGTGTTCTGTCACCCTCACTGAGAAGAAGTTTCTTCTCAAGTTTAAGTGGAACCTCTTGTGTTCCAGTTTGCACCCACTGCCCCTTGTCCTTTCATTGTTTGCCACTGAGAAGAGCCTGGCTCCATCCTCGTGACACTCCCCCTTTATATATGCTTTACATAGAACCTACTTGTTAAGGAGATAAAATTTGCTATCACAGGCTAGGGTAGAGACTTGGGCATGTTCTTCTGCCATTATGAAGAGAAGCAAGTGTTTTGTTGGTCAGATCACTGCTGCAGAAGGGAGGAAGGGACAAGCTACAGCAGTCTTCTGAACAGTTTTGTTCTGTCATTGCCGGGACTTGCAGCAGAGGTATTACTACACATTGACAAGTGCTAGAAACTTGCTAGTCTCTATCTTCAGATTAATTTGACCCTTGCGATTAATAAGCAAGCATACCTTTAACCCACTCCCTCTTCTGTGGTTGTAACTAATTCAACTCCATGCTGCTATCTAGGCACATGCAGTGACAAGTTTGTCTCCACATACTTCAGTGGCCCATGAAGCATTAATTAGTTACTAATCTCCAGCTGCACCAGTGTCTAACACAAGGAGCAGATGTGGAAGGGGCCACAGGTCTAGCACTTTATATACCCTTTTACAGACCTGAAAATACAGAAGCCATCTCTGAAAGCCAGGAGAGAGCATGCCATACTACAAACAAAATGCTCCAGAAAAAGAACGTAATATCCTCCCAGTGTCAGATACAGCATAAACAGGCTCAAGTCACCATGACCAGCTGTAGGGAACAGAGTTTCTTGAAGGACTAAGCAGTTTCTATTCCTGTGTCTCTACTTCCCCAGCAGCAAAATCATTAGCTTTCTGTCAGAACTACAGCAAGAGACCAGTATTGTTCATAGTTTTCAGCATCCATCAGCTATGGAACAATGCTTTTAAACCAAGCCCACAGATATCTTTCCTAGTCAGCAGTGAGACTGTCTGTGCCACTGGACTGAACCCAGTAAATAGAAAACACCTTATCTTAGCATTTTGTCTTTGTATCACAACATGTTGACCCACAACCTGAGCTTTTATTGCACAGTTCATCCATTCTGGCACAGTAAAGCCTTCATGAAAAGTTCCAAAGGGACTTGGTGGAAAAACATAAAAAGTCCATGTTTTAGAGGGAAAACGGAAAAGCACAGTTAATGAACAATAAGTTCAAAACTCTTTGCTGCTCAGCTTTTCCATCTATTATAATTCCAAGCTCTCATATTGAGCTCAGTATCATTCAAAAGCAAGCAGAATGAGAAAAAAGAAAACAGCAAGAGACCCATTCTATGAACTTTTTGCATTCAATCCCACACAAAAATCCCTACCTCCCACTGTAGCTTAAGAAAAAGATTTATAGAAGACTGCCTAGGATAATCAATGACCTAGGAATGATTTACACAGCTGGCAATTAAGCAGCCTATGACTTTATTTGACATGACAGCAGAGAGCTATGCCAAAGTTTACCAAATCTAAAGCAGCTTGGAAAGTATGGCTCGAAATAGACTAGTTGCTATCTCCTCCACTATAAAAACTAGCAGCAGACATGCACAAAAAGCAGCACATAGCAGCTCTTCATAAGATGTGTGGATATGAAAAATCATTCCTTTGGAGTGTGGCAGATTCACTAGGTAATTGAAGAAGAAAGAGTTAACCAATGACTGTTAAACAAAAGACCTTAAACTGCTGTCAGAATAAAGAACACACCACTGCAATGCTCAAATTACTCATCTTCAACTTGTTCTGGCTACACCTGGAGACAGGATGCTGCAGTAGGCAGTATTTAGCCTGATTCAGTTCAGCTGTGCTTATGAGCGGCTATCCTGTAATCAGGCTTATTTCAGTTCAGAAAAAGATATATTGTATATTCAGCTTTTCTTCTTAAGAACTTGGAAAACAGATGTAGCTCTGCAGATAACTGTACAATGCCCTTCAACAAAGTAAGATGCAAGAGTAGCATGGCCTATGAAAGAGTTAAAGAGCTGCCTCTCAGCTTAAATGAGCAAGGTCTTACCAGAGTGAGGCAGGGCTCTAGATTTTAAGTGACCAAGGACAAGGCAGAGAGAGGGATGACAAATAGTTACTAACAGAGTTTACAGATGACAAACTAGGGGAGTCTTAAGTGAATAAAAAGGAAATTATTTGTCCTGAGTCAGGTGTTCTGTGCCCCAATTAAGCAAGAGACTCCAGATCTCTAGTCACATCTTCCATCATAGTGGCTGCAGATTAAAACCCCAAATCCTGTTTTGAATAGTGTAGTTTCTTATGCCCCAGATTTCACAACTCCGCTCAAACATTACAGCATGTGTTTCTGCTAGTCTTGTGAACTCAGCAAGAAGAGACCTTGCCTCCTCCTCCTCCCTCCTCAAAGAAAAAGAAAGTTACAGAGCATCATACAGAAAGTTACTCCAGCCAGGCAAGCTAGTTATTGATGTTTCAGTATCAGAAGTGAAGCCATTTCCTCCCAAAGAATTATCAGTTGCAACCTGAAAAATACTGTGCCTGTAGGACTACTCATGGTGTCCTACCTCCAGCACAGTACCAATTTCAGCTGTTTCTTGCATATTCCTCTACTACTCCCTCTCCGCCCCCAATCTCAAAAAAGGTATCTTACTACGTGAAATAATAACCAATTTTCTCTATTTTTCCTGGTAAATCAGTTCACCATCATTCTTTGCTGCTATGGAAATGGACCTATTCTGTCAGAGCTATTTTCTTACAATAGCAAGAAAACCTGCTAACCTGGTATCATCTGAAGCAGTGAGTGCTGCTGGAAATGAAACAAATTTTGAGCACAAGTACCCATTCCAGTGGTCTCACAAACAGGATTTTTCCATCTCCTGCTCTTAATCTCTCCCATAGGCTGTACTCCTTTTCCTAGGGTGTGCTAGAGTATCACACTAGCTGAACTCCTGCAGCAGAGTCCTGAGAAAGTCTTGTAAGAGAGACCAACAAGGTGGAGCTGGACTGCAATTCTTAAAACACAAAACAACCACTTTTCATTGGAAGAGCTACAAGACTGTATTTGTCCTTAAAAGTTCTTTGATCAGAAACCCAGAGATCCGTCAAATCACAATACAAAAACAAATGCTGTGAACAGTTAGAGCAGGAAGAGCTCAGTTAGCAGGAATGCTAGGCTCCGGATATCTAATTCTTTGATCTTTCCACTTTACCTTTTAGGAACTGAAGGAAATCTCTACCCTTGTAGGCAGAGAGTGTGGCACAAGTATGGGGGTACAGCAGCCACTTATTTTATTGTAACAACCCTCACGTCAAACTAGATTAAATGAAGGCTTGGCTGCAGTGTTCAAGATGGTTCTTCCTCTCAGTCTTAATTATACCTGGCCTTGAAGAAGGAATCCAAAATTGGTATGGGTGTCAGGGTTTTCTATCCTCATCCTTCCTGACAACAGCTTGCTTTCTCTTTGAGCTTATGCATCACTGTCCCTTTGCTCAGGTGGCCCTGTTTTTCCTCTATTCACACTGCTGTATCCCACAAAATATCCAAGCCCTCTGTTGGTTAAGCACTGCACTGTGTCCCAGAACGACCCTTTCCAAATACTTTCCCCTTAAGTCATCCAGCAAAATACAGAGAGTGCTTGTTACAATACCGCTCCACCCAGAGCACTAGCTAGGTCTTCCTTCTGCTGTGGAGCAGTCTGTCTGAAAGCCTTCTCCAGTAAAATTCCTACTCCGGGAACGGAAAATTTCAGGCACAAACTGTCATAACGTTACAGTGAAAGGAAGGCAGAGGAGACGAACAGAACCTGAAGCACCATCCTGGAAACCCTGACCCTCAATGTAGAGTTTTGCCAGAACACACTTGTCACAAAAATGTTATTTTGGGGCAAGTCAACATCACCCTAGTTTTCTGTCACAGCTCAGACTAATCTAAGAATATTACCTGTTCTGTCTTTTTAAATGCCTTTGGGCTTTTGTTTATCACATTACAGAAACACTTGCAGAGCTGAAGCTTCTTGTATTTGCTTTTAAGCCCAGCATTTAAAATGATTATAACCAATTTACGTTAGGAGAATCAGCATTAAAGGAGACCGTTTCTTGGATACTGATCCTCTCCTTCCTCTGCCTTGCGCTGTAAAAGTTAACTCAATGTTGTCTGTTCAGCTTATTTTAAATTATGCTGACCAAACCCTGTTACATATAAAGTGATAGTAGAGAGATTTAAAAGAAGCATTTGAACATAAAAAAAAAAAAACAAACTTTTTTTCAATACAATGTTTAGCATTTATCAGAAATAACAGAAAAAAACAAAACCACATGACTCCTTAGTACCTTTTTATCAGCACCAGGAAACAAGCCACCTACTTTGCAAATAGTTTGAGAACAACTGAATTCATGGCATAGTTTAACCCAGCCAAGTTATCTTTAAAGTACACTGTGCAGTTATGGAATCAGAATCTTAGCTTACATTTACTATTTAGGGGTGGTTATATATTAACAGTTCTGGCATCTCCCTTCTTTCATCGTCTCAAAAAGAACCTCCTTTCTGCCAGGCCTACACAAACCCCTTGAGAAGGCAGTTCACACTCCAGATCTACTGAGACCTTGGAAAAAATGACAACAACATGCAAGAAAAATCCCAACATTAGCTGCTCTTTTTACAAGTGCCCAAATGTATTATGTGAAGCCTTAAGCAGCTGTCAGGAAGGAACATTTAAAACCATTACCTGAAAATACTGTTAAAACCATAAAAAAAACCACAAAAACCAAACAACCTCAAGAGATAAACACACTTCATGTCAAAATTTCAGTATAAGCCTGTTTTTCTGTCCTCCAA